ATCTAGGGGGTTCGCCAAAAGACAAATAGAGAGCGAACAAGTGTAGTGCAAACTTTTGCGGCGACAACCCTGGTCCAGAGCAACTCTGCCCTACCACCACACTCCCCCAGAGTTTCCCACACCCACACCCAAACCCCCACCCCCTCCCCCTTGGCATTGCATGTAAATGTTGTAAAAGTTTTTACGATTTGCCAAACTATAAAAAGGGAAAGGCGGTGGCGCGTGAGTCGGTGGGGCGGACTCTCGGTCTGTTGGTCCACTTGGATATACTTGCAATATAATAAACTAAGTAATTACATATGTGTGCGTGTGTGGGCAGGGCGTGGGGCGTGGGGCGTGGGCAGTGGGCAGTGGGCAGTGGCTGGGGGAAGAACTATTTGAATTCGCCCATAAAACATGGACGAGTGCAAAAAGTGCGCCCAAATTACCTTGACATGTGAGCTGGTGGTGCCCCCGCACCTCGGGCCCGGTCCCCCCGATGACGTTCCCCAGTTGCCCTTCACTTTTTATGACAATTTCACTTTCCACAGAGCCCCACCATCAACAGAAGCGGGGGAGGTCCTTGCGTGTGTGACCATTTCATAGGCATTTGTCATTAGGACCCCACCCCTTACCCCGCAGCAATGCCGGTTGGTCGTCAAGGCGGTGCCGTTTACAGCCCAGCGCTGAATGACACTAAAACGTAGCCACAGTGGTATCCATAAACTTCCATAATCGTAAATATAGATTTGTGGTGCACGTAGACCACCCAATCCCCCCCAGATACACTTCTGCTCTCGTAGTACTCTGCGTTCTACATTGAAACTAAATGAAATTTTCCATTCGGAAGCCATCGAGATTTAATAGTAAGAGAATACAGTAGAAAGACTTACGAAAAGAGAGACTATCAGAGGGAAACAGAACGAGAATGGTATCGGGGAACTGATTTCTGGTAATTATGTTGTTCCCAAATGCCTGTTGCACTTTGCCATTAAATGAAGGACAGATACAGATACAGACACAGACAGAAAGCAATAGAGAGGAAAAAAAGGACTCAAAGGACTAAAGACTTTGTCTCTGGCATATTTTTCGGCTAATGACACTTTTAACAGCTGTTGGATTTCCCTGGAAAATGCGACTTGCTCTCTGCCACTCAGCGCAAGATGTAGAGAGATATGGAGACGGAGAGTTAAAGCACACGTTGGGAGAAGGAGAAAGTGAAAATGGGGGCAGGATTAGAAGCCTCCTTCCCTTCCACTCGCCCCGGCCCTCCTCCTCGCACATATTTGAAGACATAAATAAATGTCAAAAAATGCAGATTACTTATTAACCCCTGTGGCGTGCCACAAAAACTCTGCTCCTGCTCCTGAGTCTGCCTGTGCCTTAGCCGCGATATTATTCATTAATACAAAACTCTGGGAAGAACACCACCACCCCTCCAATCCACCCATTTAAACACCCACCCACCCCCCTGACTGGTGGCGATGGCCCCCACGCGGCGCTTTTGCCACCTTTGGAACGAACGAACGAACAAACGGCCCAATGGATGGAGAAAATTATTAGCTCTTTGGTAATATTTTCTTGCATAAATTTTTGAATAATTTTGTTTTTTTTCGCGCTCACTCTCTCTCTTTCTCTCTCTTGCTCCCTCATTCTCTTTCACTCTGCTATGGTTGTATCTGTGTGGCATCTTTGGGTAACGCTTTATTTTCAATTTAACCCTCATTGTTGTACGTATAGCTGCCTCCCATTGCCACCCACTCTGCCGTACTCACACCACCCACTCTCTTTGTGGATTTCACCTTTTTTGTGTATGTGGGTCCGCTCGGTTCTCTGTTCCGCACTGTCTTTCGCGTGTGGCATAAAAATTGAATCCTAATCCATGAATATAGATGATTATTATATGCCCCGCAGTTGGCCCCGCTCTTCACGAACCAACCAAACAGCGGGATGGCAGCCATTAGAATACTGCTGCTGCTGCTGCTGCTCCTTTAGGTCTGGTCTGGTCTCGTTTGGTTTGGTCTGTTGGATATCTCTCCTTCTCGCTATGGTGTTTGGAAAATTTCCCTTTGTTTTGCATTTTGCATCAATCCACAGAACCACTCCGTCGAACCACTGGTCCTCCACCTCCACCTCCACCTCCGCCTCCGCCCCATTTGCCCGTGCAACTACCGAGCCCCGAAATGAGAACGCCGCCAAAGTTGTCGTAAAATTTTGTTATGACTTTTTTCTTATTGCCGAACGCATTCGAAATGTTGCTCTAGGGGGTGGGATGGGGATGGGTGGGGGATTCTTAAGATACTTCCTGCTGGTATTTAAAGTTGTAAAAATTGATGGGATCTTGGCCTCCGGATGTTGCCTACAATATTTCAGTTGGACTTTCCTTTTTTTCGGTCAGAAGTTTTCATTCTTCTGCTTCTTTGGGGACGGGCTCTGATCCGAGGGGGGTCTAGGGTGAGAAAAAAAAAACATGGGCATATTCCGAGATTTCAGCTATGGCTCCTAAAAGTATGCTGCAAACATTGATTGTAGGGAAATATTTCCTCTCTTTCAGAGAGCCCTATATTTTCAAATTTAAGCATGCATCAGATATGTAGAATATTTATTAGCCTCATAGAAATATAATTTGATTTTCCATTTATAAGAACGCAAAACTGGGACACAACCCCTTGTGTTTTGGTACAACATTTCCTCTATGTTCAAGTGTGTTTATTCTACCACGCAAGATGCCTAGAAGATGGTAGGTTTTGGAACCGAACTCCAAGTTCCATATCGGCGACAAATGGAGGAAGGTAGAGGGTGGTAGTACCACAGGAAAAATTATACAAGTGCACCCACTGTACTCCTTCCAGCATATAGTATTCCATTCCGAATTTACCCACCGATCCGTTCACTGAAAGCATAAATAAATAAATTATTAGAAAATTAACAATTTTTGCAATTAAAACTACAAAACTAATTTACAAATGCATTGCATTTCGGTCGCATCGGGGTGTGGGGTGCGTGGTGCTGCCCGGAGGATGAGGTGAGCTTAACGAGCAAATAATAATGACCGCGGCATTTGTAATAACAATAATGAAAAGTCATTTGGCCATTTGGTCATTTAGCCATTTTGGCAGGGACTACCGGACCATTGGCTGGGACTGGGACTGGGACTGGCCTGGCCTGGATGGTTGGTTCGCTGGTTCGCTGTTTCACTGTTTTGCTGCGAACCAAACAACAACATGGCTATAACAATTAATTAACAAATAAAATGTCAATTAATTTTACAAACACAGCGGCAGCGTATGCCGCCCGCCCGTACACCAAAGCGAAAAAATAAATGTATATAAATACAAAACCATATATATAACAATAAAATTTACAACGAATGCGAATCACACACAAACACACACAGTCCCATACAGAAAATAAACCATCCGCCCCAGCGAGCCAGGTTCCGCAAGCAGCGCGAATTTTCTCATTTATTTATGATTTCAATTTCAATATTAAAGGTGTGTGTGCGTGGGTCGTCGTGTGGTCCGCGGATTGGGGCTGAAATTTAAATAAGTTGGCTGGCGGTGAAAGCATTTTTTGGTATTTTAAATATTTAATTGAATGATAAATAAATGCAAGCCTTTGACCCCCTCCATGCAGCGACAACGACAAAGCGAGATCCGCAATTGATGCGCACAATCAGCAGAAAGATATACACTCGCGGAAGAGTTCAGGGGAGAAATCCATTGCGGGGAGAGGAGCAGAAGTGAAGTGAATCTAGAGAAGACAGGCCAGAGCTGTGAAAAAATAAATGGAATGCAGGTAGAGGTGGAAAATGCCTATGAACCAATGGCTGCGGCGCAGGCATATAAATATTTATGCACCACTCTATCGATGGCTCTGAACGGGTAAATCCAGTTATGGACCGATATGACATTGCTGTTTTTCATCCAGGTTCCAGGGTCTTCTGGGTCTTCTGTCATTAATCATTATCTTCAGGATATTACAATGCATAAATACTACTATATCAGAAACTGACTGAAAGATAAACGTATAGCTCCGTTCGTTTCGACTCTGACATCTGAGATTCAATAGCCTTGCACGCTTAAGTGGGCACTTGAGTGCCACTTCAGCTTTGCAGGGTATGCTGCTGTCGCCTCCTTGGGTGCACATGCCACACAAGCGTTCACTCGAACACGGACCATTTGCCATTCGGCGCCATTTTGTTTGGCCGCAGACGCAAAATGCAATTTAATTATTACATTTGGACTTTTTGTCCTCTGCTCTGCCACGTCCGTCCTGTCCCACTTCGGTTTGGTGTGGTTTTTGGTGCCTGGTGGCTAGTGGCTGGTAGCGACTCTTCTCCACATATTTATTTACTTATTTATTTAAACATTTATTTATCGTATTTACTTGCGTTTCATTTGCCATTCATTCCCCAGAGTGAGCAAAGGCACGAATGACGAAGGACGGTGGCGATGGCGATGGCGATGGCAAGGGCCTATTTCCGTTTGCAATCATTGGAACGGAACTTTCCATTCGGACGAAATTTACATTTCAACTTCATCTGCATCTTCATTCCTCTGTGTGAGAGCGTATCTGTGTATCTGTTTGCGTCTGTTGCATATTTTCTTTTATTGCTTTTATTATATTCGCTTTTTGAATATTTCCCGACGCCGCCCCACAGCTCCATGGGCACCGCAGAACTAATCAAACTTTATCTTTTTTAATATCTTCTAGTGGGTACTTTAGGTGGCTCCGAGGAGAAGTGGATTCCAATTGGATAATTTACAGTAAGAGCTAAAAAAATATGTAAGCTTGATGAGCTGTGAGGAGTGTAAGGACATGAATTTCAAGGGAGTCTTTCGATGGAAAATAGTCTCTCATTACGACTGGGAGACACGGTACCATGATCAGCATTCATCATTCCGTCATCCGTTCATCTGTCAGTCGGTTTTCTCACATTATTCGTTAGATTCGATTCATATACTGAAAAATATACAAATTTCATAAATGTCAAGTGCATTCCAGAAGCTATCAAAGGTCTTGGCATTCTGCCTCGCCAACCTCCTATTTGGTTGGTACCTCTGGCCGATGGTTTTGTCAGACATCCCCGTTTGGACAAATAACGAAATCTACCTCAATTTGCTCGTTTACCTGCACCAGCTAACAGTTTTTTGGTACGGCCTTCTGGTACTATCCGAATGTGCCTTGGTAAGTCGTATCGTGTCGTATTGGATATCCAACCAACCAGGGATCTACTTGCAGGAAGACTTGGTTTTCATAACGCTCATCATTTTGACAGATATTGTTCACATTTCGCTGAGCGGCGCCTTTCTCGTGCACTCTGCCATTGGCGGTGGTGGCGACTTTCGACTTAGTATCGTCGCTCTCTTGGATATGTGTATGTACCTTCTGAATTCCTTGTAAATTCACTGAAATTCTTATTAATTTCCTTCACCAGCTCTCAGCTTCTTCTGCTCGATTCGCTGGCCGTTTGTTGTTGCATAATTGATCAATTGATTTTAAGCAACGATGGCAATAAATTAATAAGTTTATATAGTTTTTTGAACCGTGCAAGGGGGTCGGCTGAATGCACTGGCAGGCGACTCTGGGCTGTGGTTTCACCTCAAATCAGAAAAGAACAGCCCGAGCGGTAGCAAAGCCTTTACATAACATCAAGTGCAGTTCACACATTTCTACTGCAGAGTCGCCTTTTGTCCCTCGGACATCCTTCTGACCCAATTAATAGCTTCATTTAATTCCAATCCGCACTTCATCTGCAGTCATCTAACCTCAAAGGGCAGTTCCTCAGCTGAAGGGTGGTATGTGGTCATATTTTAAGCTCCAACCACAACATATGTACATGCATATGACCCCACCCTGGATCCAGCCTAGATCCACCCTGGATTCAACCTGGATCCAAAGTGCAAGTGAAGCCCCATCTTTTCTGCAGGATTACACATAAACATATATTCTAGATTGAGCAAAAAAATACAAAATACGCAGAAAGGATACACTTAGCAATAGGAAGTTTCGCATGGAACGTGTCGTGCCGGGTGTGGACTGGGATTGGGACTGGGCGTAAGATCGGAACGCTCCTCATCCCGATGAAGCGGTTGTCGAGGGCGGGGGTCCACAGCGTCCGCCCGGTCCGCCCGGTCCGCCTGGCGGGCGTCCCGATGGCGGAGGTCCAGATGGCGGCGGGCCACTTGGTGGCGGTCCGCAGGGACCACCCTGGGGATAAGCGCTCTTAAAGAAAACAAAAATATGAAAAGGAAGAGTTAGCGTTAGGCGAGTAGAGGGGTGGCTTGCGAGCACTCACCACTAATGAACCACACAGCAGCATCAGCAGCAGGCTGATAAGGTAATGACAGTTGAAATGCATCTTTCTGTTCGATTGTCCGTTCTTGCCGTGGATCCACTGATGGCCTGACTGGCGGCGGACAGAGGCTTTTATAGCGACACCGATCGACCAGCGGAGCGTGTCTAACTGCCATCACCCATCAGCAGCCTCGCTCTGGGCCCAAAATAATGGGACTGCTATTTTTAGCTTTGGTGTGAAATTGGGGAAGCGGTTGCGTGTGTGGCAATTGTTGGACTGAAACTGTTGAGGCAATTATAACGTGGAAAAACAATCAGCAAATCTGTGTATATTAAATCATTATTGTTCAATTGGTGAATGATTCCGGCATATGACATTTGGGTCAATTAAAAAAATGTGAAAAGACCAGAGCAGCCATCGCTCCCTTCGGTGCATTTCATGAAACGTTTATACATAGCTACGCTGAAAAAGGTGCTGCCACATGGCGTATGAGTAATAATCCTCAAGAAAATGTAAGAAAATACTGCGGATGCGTAACTTTCGCTCATGCCACACAAATTACCAGCCTTATCAACTGCCGGAAACATTTTTGAGCAGGCAACGATATCGAAAACGTAACCGTACAGGCCCCGTAGCCGTAGCTTGAATTAAAACTGATGATGAAGTTGAAGCTGGAGAAACCTCTGCTGGAATTTCACACCTTACTGCCTTCCATCTGGCGGGGTCCTAAAACAATTAGCGATTGTTTCGCGCAGCCCCACCCCTACCCACATACCGGGACCCATGCCCAGCTCCGACTGAAATTCAAGCCCCCAGCGATGACTTCGCGGGCGGTAATTGGTGGTGTTTGTTCCAATGGTTTGTGTCCTCGCTAGCCGCTGCCGTTTTTTCGGCAGCGTCTGGCGGGGAATGCATTTTGGCTCGGATTGCATATTCATGGTGCCTTCATGTTGTTGGTCTGCCATGTTCATGTTCATGTTCCAGCTCTAGCTCCGTCTCCGTCTCTGACTCCGAGTGAGTCTCGTTGTCAGTCCCGGGCTCGGGCTCGGGCTCAGGCTCGGGCTCCGGCTCCGGCTCGACTTGGCTGGGGTTAAGCCCACCTAGACCAGGTTGCTTGTTGGCTTCTTGGTTGGCCATAAAACCAAAATAATAGCCGCATAACATTTTATCTACCGCAGTAATAAATATTCAGTTAATTATAGAGAGCCAGAGCAAGAGCGAGCAAGCGAGAGCAGTCTTATATGCAAATGTTTCTCGTAATAAAACACCGAAAACTTGTACCAAAAGAGAAACAGAGTTAGGCGTCATCTAATACCCCGAGCAGAGAGAAAGATAGATAAGGATAGAATAATATATTAGAATTTATTTCAGAACCACATCGTTCTTCATCTCGACTATGAATTCCAATGCACCGCTATCATAGTGGCGATAAGAAGGATGAGAAGAATGACGATTATGTAGAAGAACATGCACATGGCTGCGATACTTCAGAAGCTTGAGGACAAATAATTCGACTATAAGGAGTACTGAAAGATGGTTCATCAACCGAAAATTTACGTTGCAGATCCAGTAAAATAATTCCTAGAGTTTGTTGATTGTGTGTAGATGTGAGAGCTGCCAAAGAATATGTGATACTGACAGTTAGAACTCGGCCTACAAGGAAAACTTTCCTTATTTTGCGGATATTATTGTAGAAAAATACAGAGGAGCCCTCAACAGCACTGTTCAAATCAATAAGTTAAAAAATCAATTTTCCAAGGAAGCAATGAATCCGTCAAGCCCAACAGAGTAAGTGCGAGAATCGATTTGCGCCTCACCTTGATACTAATCGACTGTTGTCTATTTTCAGACCTGGTATAGGCCTGCAGTCGCAGTTCACCGAATATTCCACGTCCAGCTCCACGCCACGTGACTATGTCGGCGACTGGGCCATGAAAAGGGATAGCTGGTTCCAAGCCCGTAATAGGAATAGACCATCGTGTCCCATTTATGTACGAACTGGACTGGGGCCCCTCAAAAAGTGCCGCAAGGCCGAGAAGGCACTTGAGATGGAATCCACTCTCAAAGCTCTACTGTCGGAAACTGCACAGGCCATTGCCAGTCAATCAACAGACATCCAAAATTAAAACGAGGGGGAACGTTGTGAGTTGCTGCGGACACCGCAACTCTACATTTATACCCGATACTAAGTCAGTATGGCTTTCCTCCGGCAGACGCCGCTAATATTAAACGACACGACAAAGAGTGCGTGCGAGAGAGACAGAAAATCAGTCTGAGCGTGATGTCACGCGCTGCGTAGCCACTGCAAATTGATTTGTTCCTTTTGGCTGCAAAAATTATCTGATCTGATCCAGATTCAGCAATCTGATAGATATGGTCGTTATCTATGATTCCCCGTTTTTAGTTTTCTCGAATCTGCAATATTGTGGATGCAACAGATTTTCGTCCTTTGTGTGGGCGGAAGGGGGTGGGGTGAAATTTTGAGATACACGTTTTATAGTGAGATCTAAGAGAAGTGCGGATTCCAAATTTGGTTACTCTAGCGTTAATAGTCTTTGAGATTTGTGAATATCCCCAGATTTGCATCCTTTGCGGGGGCGGAAGGGGGTGTGGCGAAATTTTGAAACAAACTCGTCTCGGTCTGATATATTAGGAGTGTGGATACCAAATTTGGTTGCTCTAGCTTTTATAGTCTCTGAGATCTAGGCGCTAATGTTTTACTCTAAGCAAAGCCGCCTATGCTACCTGTGTGTTAGAGAGAGACAGGGCGAGAAAAAATGAAATTGTTTTCTTGATGCTGGCTATAATAGTAATACGATCCAATTCAAATTCTGCAGTCTAGAAGATATGGTCATTCTCTACGATTCTGCGTTTTTTCTTTTCTCGTATCTTTAAAATTGTGGATGCCACAGATTTTCGCCCTTTGTGGGGGCGGAAGTGGGCGGGGCAAAGTTTTGAAATATTTTTGTAGCAGCGACATATCACAGAAGTCTGGATCCAAAACATCGTTGCTCTAGCTCTTATAGTCTTTGAGCATTAGGCGCTGAAGGGGACGGACAGACGGACAGACGGACAGACGGACGGACGGACAGACGGACAGACGGACAGACAGACATGGCTCAATCGACTCGGCTATTGATGCTGATCAAGAATATATATACTTTATGGGGTCGGAAACGATTCCTTCTGGACGTTACACACATCCACTTTTACCACAAAACTAATATACCCCAATACTCATTTTGAGTATCGGGTATAAAAAGACCTTCGTGTAAATTATGAAAAAGTTAGGTGAGTCTCGTCGCATCTTGGTAGATAGAAAGCCAGACTTGTTTAATCGACCTGAACCATACGCAGACTACTTATTTCATGCAGTTTGGTGTCGAATACATATTGATTTTGGGGGTGCTGGTCAACTTGGCGGTCATTTGCAATCCTTTTAGTACAGAGACCTCTGAAACACGGTATGAGAAAAAGATGAGCCGTGCAAGACCGTCAATGAAGGCGGTTTTTTTTTTGTATTTTAAAACACCTCATTGGTCGTGAGATCTTTTAGGATCTCTTTTATATTTTTGATTTAATATGGAGCCACCAATAAAAAGAGCCCACATTAATGTTTAGATCATAGACCCAAATCTTCTCTACGGTATCCATGCGCTTGTAGCGTAACGCCACTCATTGGGGACTTACCGAAAGACGGCGCAACCCTCTAAATGATCCACCGCCAAGGCCACCGCCACCGCGGAGGGGGACCCACAACAAAGGGCGTTGTGGGGGCCACTCGTGGGCGACCCCTTTGGTGGGAGGCATAACCGTTAACATTTGTGTTAGCGGCACTTGCAAATGGCTCCTCCCACTTCGAATCCAGCACTCCACCCGCTCCATCATCGCCCCTCAGTTCCTCCTCAGTCCCATTGTGTGGAGCTTTGTTCTGTTGCTGCTGCTGCTGCTGCTGTCGATGTTTTCTGTACTTGGCGGTTATACTCGTAATAATTAAAATGATCAAAATAATTTCAGCTGAAAGCATCGATGAAGGGCTAAAATGCTCAATAAATGGCAGCACCACCCCACCAGAATCAGCAGCAGCACCACCACCGACACAACCCGACACGAACCCACTCATTTGTTGACAGAACAGTAACTCAGGGGCTTGTTGCCCCACAAGCTAGCTGCCACTGCCCCTTCCATTGCTCCACCGTCTACCCCTTGGGGGGCAATTAAAATACACAAAAAAGTGAACCAAGAAAAAGTTGCCAAAAAGTTTTCCCATCGATGACTTGCTGGCAAAAGACAAAAGGGACAGCCGCTGAATCGTGGCAGCGCGGAAAGGTGGCAGGAGGTTGCCATGTGATATCGATGGTTGACGCCAGGGGAAGAGCTAGGGGCTGAGTGGCGGAGGGGTGGTGGAGGGGGAGGGGAAGTAGCAGTTGGCAATGCGTAAAAGTGTTAACCAAAAGCAGTTAAAATTACAAAAGGCAGAGTGCCATGGCAATGGCAACAGGCCACCAAATGGCACACCCGACTCTTCTCCAGCCCCCACTCTTCTCTCAGCGTGAGTGGGGGCTAACTGTGGCTGTGGGTGTTGGGGCTGGGGTACGATGTCGTTGGCTCTTTGAAAAATTAACACCTAATATCCGCAAAATCGCATCAAAGTATTGTTCAAGTCTCCCCCGGTACCCGTTACCCGGTCCACGGTCCACGGTCCCAGCGTTCGCCTGATTCGCTTCAAGGCGGGCGGGCGTCTGCTTTTGTTACGAAAACTTTGCAATTTCTTAAAAGTGTCGCTCAACGATGGCAGCGTGGCAGCAGCACCCACTCCACTCCACCCCAATTTCTGCCACCCCGCAGCTGTTTTTAGTTGTAGGCGTTATTAGCAACACTTAAGATGTAGCCACCAATTGGGTTCCTTGGACTGGGTGGGGGTCCTGGAGAGCCCGTGCCTGCCTGCCGGAGTCGGGCATTTTTCCATCACCTACTCGCGGGCCTGGCCCCCGGCCGAAATTTGAGACAAAGGGAATTGCTTTAAGGAGGTTGATGTGGGAATGAGACCTCAGCGCCTGTGGGGGTGTGGCAGCTAAGTA